AGAGACTGTGAAAGGAGTTAAAGAAGCTGGTGTTATCTGACTAAGGAGTATCCTCCATTAACATCTTCACTTACCACAAACTGGCTGATTTCCTCAAGAATCCCTTGAGGGTTTCTGTTTGCAGAGTAGGCTTGAAATGCAGCCTCAGCTGGCAACACGTCCATATAAATGCTGGAGGTTAGAAAGACTAAGCTGTCTTCCAGGAAGTTACCATGTATTTCTCCACAGTTATGTCTGAAACTTATGTGAAGCATGGAACTAGTGTGCACTGATAAACAGATGCTTATCTTTTCCCATGTGCTTGTTTATTAATGGACACACACACACACAGGTGTGTATTCTAGTAGTGATTGGGCAAAGAATTAGGACTTTGTTTTGGATGTTCAAAGCGCAGCTAATCATGAAAGCCCAAATTAATATATATTAGGAAATGAAAGTGAAAATGAAAAATGAGGCTTGGTATTTAGTGTTTAGTTTATGCATTAAGTACTTGATCATGAATCAAAAATTGGGGGGAATTTGTGACTATGTGCCAGATACAACATGATTGTCTAGACTGCATTGTTTTTTCCTTTCAGCCTTCAAAGTTAATTCAGGAGATGTTTTTATTATTATTCTCTTCTGCTTGTCAGTCTGAGAGGTTGCATAATGAAAAGAGCCAAATGTGTGTCATGAATTATTTTCATATAAATTCTGGTAATCCCAACTCAAAGCCATAAAAATTGGGAAGCATACAGAAGAGTCAGGCTCAGAAAAAAAGCACAGTTCACAGACCGAGTCATCAATCATGTGATTCACTTTTTGTTTTTCTGGTTTTTTTCTTCCAGAATCGAATGGAGGAAAGCAAAGCACTCTTTAGAACAATTATCACATATCCCTGGTTCCAGAACTCCTCGGTTATTCTGTTCTTAAACAAGAAAGATCTTCTAGAGGAGAAAATTATGTATTCCCACCTAGTTGACTACTTCCCAGAATATGATGGTAAGTGGGCCGCAGGGCCAGCGGGCCAGCTCTGCTGGCAGAGTCTGCAGTACAGTTAAGGGAGTACTAGTTCCTGTTTGCCCTGCTTGTAACAACATAAAACATCTTTTGGTAGTGGTGGTGGTGGTCGTCATGGGGCTTGAACTCTGGGCCTGGGCGCTGTCCCTCAGCTCTTCAGCTCAAGGCAAGCGCTCTACCACTTGAGCCACAGCGCCACTTCCAGTTTTCTGCTGGTTCATTGGAGATAAGAGTCTCATGGACTTTCCTGCCCAGGCTGGCTCTGAACCTTGATCCTCATATCTCAGCCTCCTGAGTAGCTGGGATTACAGGCATGAGCCACCGACACCCAGCTAAACAACTTATTTTCTAATGCAAAACATAGCCATCGTAGTCACTTGGCTTTTTTAGGCCTTTAGACCAAGTTCGTGAGTGTGTTTGATATCCTGTGTTACCCATGTAAAAGCATGATGCTTCGCGCACAGAGAATTTTCAGGAAGCACTTTCTGGACTTCATGGTCCAAGGAAGTCCTCCATCCTTCCAGTAGTCAGTGTCACTCGCTCTTGGAAGCACTCGGAATCTGCAGTATCCTCCATGGCTTGGTTTTATTTGCTTCATCCTTAGAAACTGATGCTGCCTTCCCAGCTATGCTGGCAAATTCTGAACAACTGGACACCCAGTTCTGAGAAGCGCTCAGTAGCTGACTAATAAAATGCATCCACATCAAACCTCCCCAGGGAAGATGAGTCTTAGCCACTGCCCTGTGTCTAGCTTAAGAGAGGCAAAGCTTGGCCTGATACCTGGTTTCATAAATGAAGTTTTATTGAGATACAACCATACCCATTCCTATGGCTGCTTTCATACTACAGCAGCAGAAGTAGATAGTTGTGCCATTTACAGTCTCTGGCCATTTACAGACAGTTTGCCATCTCAAGTTGGGATAGCAATAAAGAACATGCACTTTGATATATTTCAAAACTCTACTTCTGCCATTTATTGGCTGTATTTCTTTGGACATGTTTAATTCTACTTAGTATCCTCCAGAGTATGAAAAGGATTGGAGTCATACCTAACACAAGCAGCCAAATCTCGAAGTACTTGCTACACCTGCTGTAAACTCTCATTGTGTCATTATAACATAACATCATTTTTGTTAAGTGCCACCAAGAAAAGTGGTTCGGTTGGTTGGTTGGTTGATAGAAGGACTTGAAATCAGGGACCCGTGCTTGCTTCTGGGCAAATGCTTTACCACTTGAGCCACGCCCCAGCCCTTTGCTTTTAGTTGTCAGATGGGTTATTTTGTTCAGGCCTGCTCCTCTCTCATAGCTGATATTACAGGTATATACTACCATGTCTAGCTATTGGTTTAGAGAGGGGGCTCACTGACTTTGTGTGCAGGTTGGCTTTAGCTGTCTAAGAACACACAGACAGGTGGCAGGTGGGAGCAGCTTTCTGTGCTGGTATTCCCATCTACCGAAAATCCACAGAGGGCGGAGTTGACGTGGAGGGTGAATCCAGCGTGTCTGAGACAGTTCCTAGGTCATAAGAGGTAGTACCCTCTTTGGTTCGCAGTGTACTTATAAACTCTCTCGGGGAGTCCATTTTTCATGTTTCGCTATTCTTCTGAAAAACAGAAGAATACCTTAGAAAGAACAGAAGAATTTCTTAAATACTGATTCCTTCCGATTTGCCACTCACCACCGGAAGGGGGTCATGAGAGCCTGAGCCTGTCCCTCCGTGCTCTGGAAGCGTGGAGGACTGAGCTGCAGCCGCCGCCGTGGCCTTTCCACGCAGCTCTGCCTGAGGGGCCCCGGCGCACACTTAGATTCCCTGGCCTCACACCCCCCGGCGCACACGTGTCATTTTTCTCAGAAATGACTGAGAACCAGCAGACTGGAGATGGCCACACATTGCCAGCCCATGGGCCTGCTTCCTCTCCTGCCTCCAGCAGGCCTGCCAAGGACAGATAGCAATGCCCCCCCACGTTGCTGAAGACCCGTGGCCCCTCGGCCACAGCCGGCAGCCACACCCTGTGGTGGGCACTGTTCTGCAGTGAGACTGATTTTTCAGTGATGGGTGTTTGTGGAACCGTTGGTGTCGGTCTTCAGCGTCTTTCCAGTCTCCATACAGACCTCTTGTGGCCAGTCCAGTCCCCAGATTCCACAGCCTTCCAGTATCCACCCGCTGCAGATGGTTGAAATGTGAAGCCGTTTTTAACTGTGAGACACCCAACCGTTTACGCACTGTGCCATAGAAAACTTGGCCAGAGGCGAAGCAAAGACATTGGCTTTGTTTTTCTCCAAGCAGAGGCAGCTGCCATTTCACGAGTCTTAAGCCCTGGCACCAGGAGCTGAGAAGTCCGGAAAGAACGCAGGCGCACTTTGCAGTGGCATTGCTGTGCTAAGAGTGTTTATAGTATTATAAATTTCACACTCTTTTATTTCTGCACTTAACAAGGTTTTGATCAGAATGCATGCCATTTCTGCATTTCTTTTCAGGAAGGGAGATTACCACTTCCACATGGGCTTGAATTGGGAACTTGTTCCTAGAGCCTGGGGAATTCCCGTCCTGCTGTGCTGTCTATAATGATTGCTTTGTAGTTTATGTTTATTCAAATAACATAATTCATGCATAAAAACCGTAATATACTCCAAGTGCACTTCAGTGAACTTGAATCTAGTTCTAGTTTTCCTTTAGAATTAAAAAGTAGTTACAGTCCCTTCCTTTCAAAATAACACCATTTCTCCCGCTTCGACATTCCGTTCATGTCTCGTTTTAACTATTTTCAGGATGATTGTGAAAGGAGCACTTCAGCAATTGTAGAGGACCTTGTTTTCTAGTGGTGCAGCATTTTCATGTAATACAGTACCAGCCTTCTTCATCACTAACTAAAGGTTCAGTTCTGACATAGTCTAAGTCAGTACATGTGCTCGTTGGCCAGATGAGGAAGGAAGAGCGACCTGCCAGTTTACATCAGCGTTTCCTCGCGCGCCCTGGCTGTGTGGGCTTGAGCTGGCTCGCGGCACACGGAGGGACACCTGGACGTGAACTGCCCACACGGGCTGTGTGGAGCTCAGGATACACTTCGTTAGCCATGGTGGTCAAACCTGACACCTTTGTTCTCGAAAGTCCCTTTATTCCAGCTCGCATATAACAAGAACATGGTCAGAAAAGGCCAAGTTGTCGAAGGCGGTGCTGAGGGAAGGAAGTGGGGAGAGGAAGTCAGTCCAGGTATTCCCTGTGCTGTGGTAGAGGTCACCTGGTCACCTGTAACAGCATATCATAACTTGGAACATTGTAGAGCTGGGTCCGGGGGTCATTGATGCTACTCGTGTACAGTAAGTTTTAAATTATACTTTCAGAATCTATCAAATACATTTCTAACAGCTTGAGATATGATTCATCTGTGATATTAACTCACCCACTTAAAGTATAAAATGAATGGTTTGGGTGTATTACATTATTTTCTTGATTACAATAAAATACCATACAAAGAGCACAAAACTTGTGCTCTCAGCCATTTGCAGTGTGTAATTCTATGGCATTAATTGTATTTACACTACTCTGCAGCCATTACCAGTATTTCTAAAATGTGTTCGCCGCCCCAACTAAGTCACAGCACTCCGCCCCCGCCCCTCCCTCAGTCCATCCCAGTCTCCACTCCACGTTCAGTCTCTGAACCTGCCTGTTCGAGATACCTCTTGTAGGTGGAATCATTCAGCATTTGATCATGTATGATAACTTTTTACTTTCTATAATGTTTTCGAGGATCTGTGCATTGTATAACATCTCTCAGAATGCCATTCCTTTTGTAACAGGGTAACATTTCATTGCGTGGATACTCCTTTAGGCATACCATTCGTCACTGATGTTTCCCGCTATTGCTGTCATTCAGGACCAGTGCTGTTAACAGCCACTGGTGAGAGGCCCTGCTCTCAGTTCTTTTTTGTATATACCTAGGAGTAGAATTGCTTGACTCTTACAGGAGTTTTAGCTTAGCTTTTTGAGGAACCATCGACGGTTTCCATAGGAGCTACACCATGGTACAGGCCACCAACAGTACAGGAGTGCACAGATGGGAAGGGGTATCTCAATAAAGAAAAGGAGTTAGACATGTCTTTGGGTGGGGAGTGGCGGGGAGCGGCCGTCCACATGTGTGCCAGTCCTAGGGCTTGAACGCAGGACCTGGGCACTGTCCCTGAGCTTGTTTGACCCAAGACAGCTCCACTTGCAGCTTTTGGGTGGTTAGTTGGAGATAACGAGTCTCATGGACTTTCTCACCTGGGCTGGCTTTGAACTGTGATCGTTAGAGCTCAGCTTCCTAAGCAGCCAGGAACACAGGCGTGAGCCATTAGTGCCCACCTGCTTAGACATCTTTTTAGTGTTTAGTGATCATTTTTGTGTGTTTTCTTATGAAACAATAGATTCATGTCTTTTATCCAGTTTCTAATCAGGCGCGTTGCTTTTTGGTTAAGTCATGAGTCCTTTATATATTCAAGATGCTAAATCCATGCACAGATGTATTTACTTTTGATGAAGTCCAGTTTATCTTTCATTTTGCTCTTTTTTTGTATTAGCGATCCCAAGGATCCAAAGCAAAATTATTATACACACTTGTGATTTATCCAAATAAATATAGCACAGTTCTTTTGCAAAGTGTCTAGGGAAGTGCTTAGGACATAAGAGACCCCAATAAATATAAGAAAATGCAAGCCAGCTTTCTTAACCATCACACCTAGTGAACTGAATGCAGAGCGCAGCATGAGGCTGCAGCGGCCGCTGGACCGGGACCTGGACGTCAGGAACAGGAATCTCAGTCCTGAGTGACATTTCAGCCTGGAGAATGTAAAACAGTTCATTATGATGAATCTTAGGGGACGGATTGGCAAGAGGGCTCGAGGCAGCCGTGTCTGTATGCACACTTCATTATAGAATTGACACAGTCCACCCGCAGCAGCAGAAGCAAACTACCACCCCCCTTCTGAAGAGACTGCCGGGGTCTCTGTGTACCCAGGAATCAGAGGGAGGAAATGGAAATAAACTTAATCTAGCTTTTGAGTCATCCATTTGCATCTATCCACATTTTGTGCATACATAGCTGGTTACTTGGATGGATGGATGGATGGATGGATGGATGGATGGATGGATGGATGGATGAATAGATGGATGGGCAAGTAAAGCCACCAAGAGGAGAGATGCCACACAGTTCTATAAGGCAACATACGTGACTATAATAGATCAGACCTGTTTGATCAATACAAGCAATCTTTATTGAATGAATAACAAACAGATGTGTTAACAGGTCAGCTAACCAACGATCCCTCTCCTCCCTTGGCTAACAGGACCCCAGAGAGATGCCCAGGCAGCTCGAGAATTCATCCTGAAGATGTTCGTGGACCTGAACCCAGACAGTGACAAAATTATCTACTCTCACTTCACGTGCGCCACAGACACCGAGAACATCCGCTTTGTCTTTGCTGCCGTCAAAGACACCATCCTCCAGTTGAACCTGAAGGAGTACAATCTGGTCTGATGGGGCTGCCCAGAAACCTGCCCTCCCCTTCCCTGGTGGGCTGTTGAAGATACACAGGAGGGACTGGATTTCTGTGGAAAACAATTTGCATAATACTAATTTATTGCCGTCCTGGACTCTGTGAGTGAGTCCACAGAGTTTGTAGTAAATATTATGATTTTATTTAAACTATTCAGAGGAAAAAACAGGATGCTGAAGTACGGTCCCAGCACATTCCTCTCTTTTTTTAGGCAAAACCTTGTGACTCAATGTACTTTAAATTCTCAGTCCTGTACTCCACGAAGATAAGAGTTCTTTCTCTTTCTCTCTGTATCTTTCTTTTCTATTGAGCAAAACAAAGCTGATGTCCCTTTCTCCTCAGCCATTCCTCCCTACTGATTTCCTCCCCGCCCTCCCCACCATTACATTACAGCAGCCTTGATTCCTAGTTCCTCTCTTGGTCAAGTTTTTTTCTTGAATGATACAGTCAGGACAACATCATTCAATTCAAGCCATCTTATATCAGCTTGATTTAACAGTTTTTGCTGAAGGATTATATGTATTCCTTCTATGGTTTTAAATGTATTGCTCTGGATACGTATCTAGTATTTCTTTTTAAATATGCATTTTATCTTGTTGCCCTTGGACTGGGGGTTTTGTATTTCAGCCATAGTTTGATGGCTCAGAGAAACTCGGTGAAGTCAGAGGGCCTGAGCAAAGACACACACACACACAGTCCTTTCTTTTGAAGTTCATGTGCCATGTTCTTCCTCCTTAACTTACTCCTCTTTCGCTTTTTTCCTCTTTATCCTCTCTAAAATCACAATGCCAAATAATATGCCAACAGACACTACATTCCCCCAGTGGCTGCTCCTTTTCATAGGTTCTTCTGTTTTTATTTTTTTCCAGCTTCTCCTTCCCTCTTTTTTCTCCTTTGTGTTTAGGCCACAATTTGAAAATGATTTTTTATTTTGAATATGTGTTGCCAAAGCTGGCTTTTTATAAAATAGAATGCATTAAGAAGAGCTTAACAATGAAAGCCAGTGTCTTAAAATATAAGAGGAGGACTGTGAAGCCGGCAGTGACTGGCTGAAAAGGAACCTGAAATTCCAGTTGCCAAGCAATTGGGAACTCACTGTAAATTTGACTCTCGTGGTCCATTCTTTTATTTGCCCTTGAGGTCACATTGTACAGTGTCCACATCCCATGTTGAGTGTCCAAATCAGCAGTGTAGAAAAAATACCCGTGGTTCATCATCAAATCTGAGTTGGGTTTTTTTTTTTTTTTGGTCTCTTTATTGAAGCAAGTTTTACTTACTCTTTATGTTCTTTAAGTTGAAGTAAGTCTGCCAGAACTATTGATTGATAGTATTATCCTGACAGTTTTAACTTGCAAAAAAAAAAAAAAGTCACTGCTAGTTTTGACCGTCAAGATTTTCTTGAACTAGTGACTGGTTAAGTTGAACTTAAGGAAGATTTATGGACCTAACTCAAAAGTAACCTTTCAGTGTTTCATCAAATATATATTTATGTAACTGAACTAGAATTCTACATGTGCAACTTTTCAACAAATGCAAAAAATGCAACTTGTATGGAAAAGCTTCTGTCAAGCAGCTGAAGTTGAAATGTGACTTAAGAAAGTAATCATGGTTGTTTTAAAGCTGCCAAGGAGTTAAAATTAGGCCAGAGTACTGGTCTCAATATCATTTGGCACTAATCTAAACTTCCACCAAAAACACTTTGGCAGAGTAACCCAGGGGAGGGAAGGAATTACGGCTCATCAGACAGTTCCTGACCAGTACGAAAGAGCTCTTGCTCTTCTCTCCCAGGTTACTTTTGTTTTCCGTGCTCAGAAAACATCTGTAATTTAATGAACAGACTGTAGGTATAGTGCAATTCTGAATGCTCTAATCATTGTACATACATCTCTCTTGATACTGCAGCATCCATACTGGCTTTGTAATCATTAATTTTTGGCAGATTGAATGTGCTGTATTGATATGTATCTATGTAATTGTATTGTATGTCTTATAGCTAATTCACATTTTGAATAATGTTATTTTATTTACTTTTTTAAGAGAGGAGAATGTAAATTTGTCAGTTTATTTCTGACTAGGGATTTTTTTTTCCATTTAGAAAAGGAGAAGAAAAAAAACTTACTATCGTACAGAGCGGTACTAGCATCGTGCTGTATAAAATCATTTGCACATTCCTGAGTAGAGGTATACTGGTTACATGACCCAAAGGTAATTTCATAGCAAAACACATAAAAATCAGTCAGAGCTTTTATACAAACATGGAAACCAACTTTGTAGAACTTTTGCCATTTGATCTAGGATTGGAATATGAGCTTTTATACAATTCATATTCTTATTTGGCAAATGCACAGTTTAGTATTACCTCTCTGACGGCCTTTATTAGAAAGGCAGTTTTAGAAGCTATTGTGATCCACTAAGGAAATGTTTTAACAGCTAGAGACCACTGCTTGCCTGAAAGGGCGATCTTAAATTTGGTGCAGCAAAACAAAACAAAATTTTAAACAAATAGAAAGAAAAAAAAAGTAAGCAACAACATTGATGGCCTACAGTGTGTATAAAGAAAACCTCATCACAAGATCATAGTGTTACAGTTCTAGGGGATGAAGATATTCTATTTAATAGAGCTATAGTAGATGTAGTCAATTAAACCTGATCTCAAAGCTCGAAGAATCTGAGCAAAACAAGGAAGGATTGTTATAGTTGTCTTTATGAAATTAGGATGGAATTTGCTATGCAGAATTGAGGTTTGTGGCTTCACTGCTCATCCTGGGGTGCATGACAGGCTCCCTTCTTTTGAGAAAGGAAAAAATTGATCACCCTAGCTGCAGTGATAAGTAGAAACGTAATTGTATTCACACCAGTCAGCTGGACTAAAAGGGTTTTTGTTGTTGTTGTTTGTTTGGTGTTTGGTCGCAGGGGCCGGGTGGGAAGGGATCCTCCTGCTTTCTGTTCTCGGGGACTGCAGCTTCCTGTGCGTGGGCACTGGGCTCTGTTGTTGATGCTCTAGGTGATGGGGGCTTGTGGGAGTTTTCTGGTGACTTGGGCATGTCTTCTTCAAAAAACAGAATACCAAACACAGAAACCTTTTCAGCTTACCAAGGCCAGCAGCCATTTCATGACTCACCTAACACACCGCAGTCTACCAGTTTACAGATGATTTCCCCCCCCCCCCCCCCCCATTTTTTGGTGTGACTTGGCAGTTCCGACCCACAGAGAATTCCTTATTTGTAATTGGAGGTTTGTACTATGCCTTACAGAGCTTAAATTCAGAAGTCTGTGCCTCATCTCTGAAACAAAGGGAAATAGCACATCCATTAAAAGTCAGTGAATCCCTTAGAAGTCATTGGCGTTTGTTTTTTTCTTTTTTTTTTTTTTTAACATTTCCACAAAAAAAGCGCTGTTGAATGTCATGAGTAGACTAGAAAGAAAGAAAAACCTTAGGAACCTGTATATGTTGTTTACTAGCAGGTGATATCTACAAAAGGTGTTTGGAAAAAACCCTGAAAATCTCTCTCTCTCTCTCTCTCTCTCTTTCTCTCTCTCTCTTTCTCTCTCTTTCTCCCCTTCTCCTTCTCCCTCTCCCTCTCCCTCCCTCTCCCCCTTTCCTTCCCTCTCCCTCCCCCTCATCTTTCTCTCTATCAGTAGATTAGCAGGCCTGATATTTTAAAAAGGTAATTCAGCTAAAGGGCAATTTACTTTTTGTACTTCAGACTATCTTGATTGTCATGGTGTACAAACTGTAACTTAAAAATTTATACTGCCACATGATTGTACATTTTTAGTTGTCTTAAGTTAGGAATTGGTAAAAAGTTATTGATGCTGGATTTGGGTCAAAATGACTTTATTATTTGCAAAAAATAATAATAATGGGAAGAAAGGGCTGCATAATGAGACCCTGCGAGACTCACACTGGGTGGAAATTCCCCTGAGATTACCTTCCGGTTACCTTTGATTTCCCTTTGTTTTCAGTTTCTCAAAAAAAAAAAAAAAAAAAAGAATGAATGAATGAAATGAAATATAGCAGAATGTTAACCCATATAAAAATAAAGTGTACCCAAATATTGTAATGTATATTGCTGCTCTTCTTAAAATCAAATAAGGGTTTTTCAAACCACTTAATTGGTCATGAACAACATCTCAATTGATACAAATGCAATGTACTTGGTACACATTCATCTTTTCTTCCAGAAATCTCTTTGGTTCAAAACACATCAAAGATTAAAACTAGTAATATTGTATGTTTATCTGTGTCTGCATACTTCCAGCCTAAGTGGTGTTTAGTAGATCTGTCCTGGTACCTGTGTCTTTGGGATTCCATTTCAGTTCCATGCAGTTAGGAAAAGAGCTGTTGTAGTTGTCTGTGATTAGCTAGAGGTTTTTGGAGCCAGACACCTGCTATTTGGGAGATAACTTAGCACCAAGTCCACACTTGTAAACTAACCATTTCCTGTTGTCTTCCTTGCTACCACTGCCCCCCAGTGACACTCGACCTCTCGGATCATATCCGAAGTGTGTTACACGCTCTTCTCCTCACCCTCCTCATTTGCCGTAGCACGTCCATTTCTCTGTATGGTTCCAGCCTAATAGTTGATGGCATTTACATGTTACACAGCAGCTCTTGGGTAAGATTGGATCTCACTTGGCTAAAGGAATTCTGACTTCCGTAGAAGAAGAAGAAGAAACTACAGGAAAGTTATTCCTTAGTCGAACACTTTTTCAGGTTTGAGAAAGGCAAGTGGGAAATGACTGTGTAACTCGGTCCACATGGCTTTGATTGGAACTTGTTTGGGGTGGATTTCTTTTCTGCAAAGAACCCTAAATGCAGCTTCCGCATCCTCCCTTCATTGTGTTGGAAGCCCTAACTAGACCTATGTATTTAGGGAGTTTTGTCACAAAACATTTTTAACTTGCAGTATTTAAAAAGAATCATATTTACTGTTCTTAAAGTGTCATTCAAATGCATGTATTGTCTATTGTTTGGGGATGGGAACTAGTTTTGCAAAAAACACCTAATGTTGTATAATAATGCCCCCAATGATCTTGCTGGTTAAAAATACAGTATTTTTGGCCATAATTTTGTACTACAGCATTCTTCATTCTTGAGTTTTGCTTCCCTTGAAATTGCCTCTCAGAATTTTTATTATGATTATTATTATTATTGTAAGGAATATTGGATTTCATCCTTGCTTCCTTAACACTTGGTTTTTCCAAAGTAGAAAGGTGTAATGGTTTCTAAAGCACACAAAATCCTTTCTCAGTGATGTGCAATCAGAAGCAGTAGCTTCTGGTAGTAGAAACACATGTGTTGATAGAATATCACATTTTCTCTCATACTTGGGCTTCTGACCCCCTGTTTAGAAGTGTAGCGGCTGGGCTGGGCTGGCTCTCACAGCTGCGCTCCAGCCACACGAAGGTGGAGATAAGGAGGATTAAGGTAGAGGCCTACCCCAGGCAAAAACCCACCCGTCTGCACAATCAAGCCAAATTGTGGAGTGACTTAGCTGTGTAGAAGGTGTTAGGGAGGAGAGTCATAGCCCTAGGCAAATAGCTAGAGACCTGTTCTGTAAAATAACCAGTAAAAGGAGCCAGGGTCCTCAGCTATGTCCTAAGTTAAGCCCTAGTAGCACAAAAAAAAAAAAAAAAAAGTCTCCCTGCAGACGTGTCAACACTGTGGAGAGGCTATCTTCTGACCAGTTACATCCCCACCTTGCCCCTGGCAGATGCTGCAGTAATGCTAGGGTAGCTGCTGGAGCACGGGTAGAGTTTAGGCTTCTGTGGCTTCCCTTGTTTCTTTTCCATGTAGAGACACCTCTATAACGGCGAGGTCTGCTAGGCACAAGCTCTTTTCCTCTCGTCCTCTCCTGTGAACTAGGGAACTGGTGTGTATACCTGCCCTCAAAGCCCAAGCTGAGCAATGCCAAACCTGCCCCGGCTGCTAGTGATCAGTTTTCTGGACTCCAGCCTTGCTCATGACATGTTCTTCCCCGCGCTGCTCCATGTAAATACTGTAGAGAAGAGGGGCTCAGTCCTGCTTAAAACCCTCTGAGAGTTTCTGCGAGCATGGGTCACAGGGACTTTTTGATGGATGGTGTCCCTTTCTGACTGACTTGAGACAGTCCTGGCTGCACACCAGTGGACCTCTCTGAACTAGACCTGAGCCCCCCAAGACTGGTTTTTGCAAATGTTCACCCTAAAACTCCTCAGCCTGGAGGGCACAACATGACCTCACTGAATATTATTCTAGCCAAGTATTTTTAACTAGAGGTTTGACTGATAGGACACTCTCAATGTGATTGTCACATTTTTTTTTTCTGTCCAAAAGCAATTAAAAAAACAAAAAACAGGGCTGGCACCGGTGGCTCACGCCTGTCATCCTAGCTACTCAGGAGGCTGAGATCTGAGATTCATGGTTCAAAGCCAGCCCGGGCAGGAAAGTCTGTGAGACTCTTATCTCCAATAAACCACCAAAAAACTGCAAGTGGCACTGTGGCTCAAGAGATAGAGCACTCGCCTTGAGCTGAAGAGCTGAGGGACAGTGCCCAGGCCCAGAGTTCAAGCCCCACGACCAACAAAGAAAAAAAAAGCCAGAACACTTTAGCCTCGCTCTTCCTCTTCCCTTTCTCCCATGTTTCTCTTAGGTGACAATTCCACAAGGGCTGGGTAAGCCGCATCAACAAGCAGAGTGTGGAGCCTGCTGCTGAAGAACAGGTAGGGCCCCGTTAGTGTTTGTGTAGGATAATTTCTGGTGGTGAGTGGGCTGGCTTCTATTTTCTAAGCTTTTCCTTATTAACATATTCTTTACTCACTCCATAGAGAGGCTTGAGCCTGTGTTGAGTTTCTGCCAAGGTCAGAGCATGGCAGATACCAATTCAGCACGGATTTGGCCATGGTGCGTCGTCATAATCATTACCGTTATTCCTCTATTTCGTTGCCATTGGGAATCAAAGAATGACTCCAAATATGGGGCGCTAACTGGTCCATTTTAATGGAGCTATTGCCTGACCCTAGGTTCTTGCAAAACAGGCCTGGGTATAAAGTATAGGTCTCCAAAAATCCAAGATGCCCAGGGAAGACTGGAAAGATGTTTTCTGTTGAATGTTCTTGCCTCAAGGCAGGAAATTTAATCTGTTGATTCCCTCTTCCTGTTTTTCTCAAGAATGCAAATCAGAGGCCAGCATTTTTTTTTTCTGGCCCATAAGCCTGAGGGTAAAATGAAGGCAACAAGCCCTCTTTAATTAAGGTAATTACACTGAACCATGTTAACAGAGGTGGAGCCAGGCTTCGGCTCAGCATATAGACGTGGCTAGCTTGTCTAGACAGCTTGTATATGGATAGCTTGTCGTAGATTTCTGAGCACCTTTAGAAGTGGACAGGAAAACACAGATGGGCAAGCATAGCTTGCAAAGCCCTGGACATCTGCAAAAGGGACCTGCCATGTGTCACCATGTCCAGTAACCGTTCCTGACAAGACCATGTAGATGCAGAAGGGATCTCAGCCCCTCCTACCGATGTTGGGGCCTTCTAGCCACCATCTTGGGTACACCTGGAGAACAGGTCCCGTGTCAGCAAAGATTGCATGAAAGCCCCAGCCAAAGGGGCTTGCTTGCTTTTTGTGATATCCTGGCAAATAATGAGCCATGGGGGTGGGGTTGATACTGATTTTTCCTAGGGTGTGCTGTGCTAATTTTCAGCGTGAATGTGTGTGCCGTGCCTGATTTTGTTGTAGCAGCCTGCCATGCTGACAGCTGGCTCTCAGGCTGTTGTGCAGGCCAGCCTCAGACCCACAGAGGTTTTCCATCCACCCAGGAGTAGGCCACGCCTACTTGGTGTGCTGCGGTAGCACTTTGTGTCCCTGCGCTGTCACTTGGAGTTGATTACCAAATAGCAAACTGGAACCTTATTCACAATGGGCTCAGGCAAGGGGCCACTGTGCCAGAAATGCGAAATGTTCTGACTCTCAAGAACAGAAGAATGAATAGCCAGATACCTGAAGCTGGGAGCGGAATACAAAGCCAATGTGGACATCAAATTAACCTAACATTGTGTGTGTGAGAGAGAGAAAGAGAGAGTCAGCATTGATCTCAGTCATGGCCGAAAAATTTGACATGTCCCTACAAATATTCAAATATTCACATCAATTGGGAGAGAGAAATCCCGCATCTTTTGAAAACAATCTCTGCATAGGGGGTTGGACCTGTGGAATCTGAACATAATCTAGTCTCAGTGCATGCACAGATACACACATGCATGTGTGTAATGTGCATAATGATCGTTCTCTCTCTGGTTATTAGAAGTATTGTAAATAAGAAAGTAAGTCTTCATTCTGCATGATTAAGAGAAAAAAAGGGGGAGGGTCATGAAGTCTTGCTAAACTTCCTTTTTAAAAAAGTGTTTTATTGAGCAGTCTTTTTGGGTGCCATCTTTTCCAAAGTGTTCCCTAATCTAGGAAAGAACACCTAATTATAACAGACTTGAAAGGCCGCAGAACCTAGGCTGGGACTTAAATATGTCCGAGTGATGGGGCAGGGGAGGGGGCAGTATCCCCGCCGAGACAAGGAGGAAGCGCTCTCAGGGGAGTAGAAGCTGGGTGCAATGTCTTTCTAAAGGCCAGGCCTGCGGATGCTGCCGGTCTTGCTCTCAGGATCAATCTCCAGTGATCCCTGCAGATTTCTCACTTTGCATGCAAGTTGGCGCATCCCAGGACACATGCCTCACAGACACGGTACAGAACCACAGACTCAGACAGATGCTCTTGGGTTATTCTCAATACTGCCGAGGTGGCCTGCCCACCGTACGTCACGGTGGATGATTTTCAGCTCAAGGGCTGCCTGCATCCTTTTAGCATTCTCAGCCAGTGAAGTGCTAAGAGTCCAGCGCGACTCCACTGACTGAAGCCCAAGATTTAACACCTGGACCACTAGCGCGAAATGAATGAGTCTCCCAGGTCTGAGACATGTATTTACATATGGAATAATGGTATGTAAAATCTTCCGTGTTTCCTAGAAGCTACTCCTAGAGTCTTTTTTAAAGACAAGAGCATTACTTTTAATTGCTAAAGAAGAGGAATGTAGACATTCCAGCTTTCTTGTTCTTCCCTACGATGGAACTCTAACTCCTCTCCTCTACTGTCAGGCCAGCATTTGCCACGAGCCCTGACCAATCAATTTCAGAGGTGCCAGGCCTGCTGCAAGCCCTTTCCTCTTGCATCTCTGGGCCCACGATGGTGCTGGCCTGGAGAGGAAGGGGTGCTCCGCCTGAACAGTATTGATCACTGGGATAGAAAAAAGAACATAGATTTAAAACAATTACAAAAGTCAAAAAACAAGTTCTGAGAGTATAATATCTGCCTAAAGAGATACGAAATTTCTCAAATTCTTAATGTGTACTTAAAATCTGTCTTTAGAAACAACGCATTAAAGAAACTATGTTTCAGATCTCAACAAAACAGGACTTGAGAATGAGTGGCTATCTTCTAGGGCAAATAAGAATAAGAATAACCACAAGTCTATTTCACCACTATTTTGTTAGTACTAATGTCAGAATATGTTATTCTGAAATCTGATGGAATGAACCGAAGTTGTATTTAACTTCCCACTTTTCCTACGGCCTTGGAATAGACTGGGAAGGGATAAGATTTGGGGAGGGGGCCTACATTCCTTTATATTTTGAGATAGCTAAATGAAATTGTGCTCAAAAGCAAATGCTGCTCCTTCCTTTTCAGAAAGTGCTGCCAGGATTCCAAATTATTTTATAAAGTAGATTTTTGAACCTCAGTGTTTTTGCCAGGTACAAAGTCTATAATAGAAAAGTAAGAAGATATTTCCCAAAAGGAAGAAACAACCAAAGCCAGTGGCGGCTTAGTATACACAAGGAAAACCTTACTCAAACACATCCATAAAAAGAAGTGGAGCCCATGTTTCTGGAACTTGGGGTTCAGTTAGGAACACTCGAAGGGATAGGGGAATTTGGTGCATCTACTTTATGGAATTCAACACTAAAAATTTTATTTAGTGGTTCTAAATATGAATAATTCAAGTAAAATAATTCCTTCCGATTAGCCACCTGCCTTTGTTATAATGGGTTAAGATTGAATATAAAGTTCACAAAAATAACTATAAACACACAGCTATGTTATAAAGTTAGGAGACATCCCAGAGGGACATATAAGGAGCGTCAAGTGAAGACCCTGTTCTAAAACAAGTACAAGACTGACCAAAGAGAAGAATGGAGACATCGCCTTAGATTTGTC